TCTTACAAATTAATTCGAATTATGTTTCAAATATTAGATATTACACGCTTACATTTACTACCTACTCAATAGCCCCCGATTTTGCGATACAAGATAATTAAAGCGGAAAGGGTAATAAATTCATTTTTCAAATAAATTTTTCACGGTTTACGATTCGCTATTTTTGTAGCGAAATTGCTTACATTTTTTCGTGTTTATCTCGGCAAAGCGAGCGGACTATAATTAATTTTTGAGTTCCCAAATAATATTAATTGGGAAACACTTATGAAATTTGGCAAGCGTTTTTATGTGCCTATGTAAAGCGCGAATAAACTTACACCAACAACAGTAAAAATAGATAAAGCAGCATTAAATGTGTATACGGAACGAAGCTTTTAACCTACTTTTCGTGCATGATTACAACTCTATCTCGAAGAGACTATACTATCACTATTTGACATATGACTAACCAGAAATTACCCAAGTTGTATAAGCCAGTGGTAAAGCTTCCCATAAGAGATAGTTGAGTTAAGAAGAGCCATTCGAAACCGAACACGCCAGTAAAATTGGTATATATCGTACGGTGTCTGCGAGAGTTGCAACTGAAACAGACTCTTCGATTTTAAGCGGACCGTCAATGCGATCGCGCAGTAGAAACCCCCAGATAAGAGATGCAGCAATAATATTCTAGTTTCACCTAGCCTAGGAGTAGGAGATTGATGATATGTTTACTTCCGTTTAATTGCCAAGATTTTTCATCCAAACTACAACTTCTGGAATAATCGAGGATGTGTCGCCAATTCACGCTTTGATATGATATGCCTTGTATGTACCAGTAACGAAACGAACAAATCAATTTTGTGTGGGTGGCAGCAGCAAGGTGCATAAAACCCATGGTAGGGTGTACGTGTATAGCTAACTAAAATGGAAATCTGCTCCAAAATGGATTACGTGATATACCTGCCACAGAACGCTATTTTGAAATTTGCGAATTAAGCTACGGCAAACGCTCTGATCTAAAGTCCGTATGCCATCCGGCAATCTGTGTAATTCAGGTATTCTATACAATGCCTAGGGAATGTATGCAATTCCGAGTCTGTTTAGGAAATATTCACAATAATCATAATTGTAATAAATTTGGGGATGCATTTTCTTTTAAAACTTAGGCGAAGGGAAACTACTTCTATAATGGATAGAATATTGCGTATTGCGTAAAGTGTATAAAACGGGATAAAGGACCAAAATCGTCATTGGTTTCTACGTAAACCTATGGCATACCTAAGTAGTTCGAATGATGTAGCCTTCCTGTATATAAATCTGAAATCCTTTGGTTTTTGGGGAAAAACGCGTTACCGAGTTTTCGCGATTTTCCGATTTCTTTCAGAGTAAATGCGGTCATCTCATATATAGGGTGCAATTTTGAAATTGTCGATTTCGGGGTAACATATTGATATCTAGAACCCTATTGTTAGGCCGTGTGAGCATATGCAGGGTGTTTTCTAAAAAATTATTGCAATAATAACATCAATAAAACACGATAATATAGTAATAAATTTTTATTATGTAGTATTCGCCGTTTTATATTGTTTTATCGTTCTGTATTTTTTTTGCTTGATTGTTTTGAGAATGTAGGTACTTAGGGTTGCTTTTTAAGTGTCGTGGGAATTTTCTAAAAGGCTTAAAAAAAGCGCTAATATGCGTCTGTTTTGTAGTTGTAATCTCATGGTCCCGCTAGGGTGAGTGGTTATATTTGGCAGAAATACTTCCAAAAGTTGGGTATTTTACGTTTTGGGGTGCATTTTATATTCAGCGTAATGAGATTTTTTCACTTTCATTTTGTTTGCTTTTATTAGGGAAACCTACCATAAAAATTTACACAAATAAATTAGGTATACTCCTGCCTCAGCTATCATCAGCGCTGGCGTCTGGTTTATTGAAAACTGTTGACCACTTCCTTCATCGCAAAATTGTTGTGTAACACTTCAGAATATTTTATCTTCCCGTGCCCAAAGACGGAGGAAGTGGTGACACACCCACTAAATGCGTGAATAAAAAGAATAGTGCCCTCTTATGACGCTTCGTTTTCAAGATATTCGGTTGGACTTCACCAATAGATAGGTATATGTCTCGTTCGGAGGATTCATTTTGCCTTTGTGTGTACTCTCCTTCGACAAACCGTTTCGCTCATAAATTATGCCATCACCAAAAGGTATATTTCTTCCAGACGTCCCAATCACCTTTTGTGAGTACCCTTTCCAGACAATCCGCTTTTGAGATATAAGTAATTATAAGCGATCACGATAATGGGCCGAGGAGGAAGACTATGATTGGTAAAAGGTAATTCCTTTCACTTAGTCCATTCATTAGAGTACCATGAAGGATAAAACAAGTCCCCTTTCAACCCCCCCCCCCTTTTGATAAGAGGTTAGAAAGAAATGCGGGAGCTGGTAGAAAACAGTTACTTTTTCCTCTTTTAATTAGAATACCATGGAAGATAATACCCCCACCCCACCGGTCACCCAGTGATGTCGAAACGGATTCGCGCAGGCAGGTTAGTTTGTAGAAACCATTTCATTTCGATGAGACCTTTCATTAGAATACCATGAAGACAGAACGTGTATTTACCCCCTCTCCCTCCACCATTTTCAAAATTTTGACATGACATCACTAGATACATGTACATACAAAATCTGAGACAAATTAGTGGTCCCACATTTCTTTCAATTCTTAAAAAATGCGCTGAAAATGTTATTATTTTTAAAAATTACTATAAACACGAAACTTTAAATTAGTGTATCTCCTAAACTATACATGTTAGGGGGCCAAATAGAATATTAAATTGAAGGTACTTTTATAAACT